GTATTATCACCCAAAATGGGCAAGGGTTCTGCTATCTGATTTTGGGTAGGGTTTAGGGTTTAGGGAAGTTTAGGGTTTAGGGTTTTAGCTTCCGGCGTTGGTCCCGGAGAGAAGCTGCACGCTTAGGGCTCCGTCGCCCGCCCACCGTTTTTAGAAGGAAAGTGTCTGGCACCTGACCTGTTCCCGTCTCGCTGCTGCGCAACATCCCGGAATTCCCGTATACCACTAGCCTATTCAAACCTGAAGATATCATGCCCATCCGCGCTTCCAGAGTCCCAACCTGAACTTCTCAAATTTCTACCATCATTCTTTCCCCGACGTGGACACACATACCGTTCTTCGCATGTCTGTGCGAAAGATGAGATTCCTAACAACATGTCCTCATTTCCTGACTCTCCTTCGGGAATGTAAGCCGACAAGAAAACGGGTGGTAATACAGGGACCTCAAGGATTAAATTACAGTCTTGCGGAAATATCCTAGTATAGATTAGGGATCATGAGGAGATACTATATTGTAGTTACCAGGTCGGATTTTCAGCTTTGGGTCACTCCTGCCCCTCAGGCTCTCCACCCTCCGCCTGGACAACCGCACAGCCTAAACCTCAAAAACCCTGCATCCTACATCCGAAGCCCTAAAAAGCAGCACCCCAAGAGCCCTGAAGCCCCAAGCCCTTCTAGAAGCAGGCCTTCCTCTGACTCTGTGGTGCTGCCCACCTGGCCGTGGCGTGAAAGCATAATCAATATCACACACACAGAGATACATAAATATAAATATAAATATACATATATATATATACACTTATATATAACATATCCATACATACATGCATGCATGCATGGCATGCATTATGTATGTATGTATGTATGTATGTATGTATGTAATTATGTATGTATGGATAGTTATATCGAAGCCTTGAGAATCATAAGAGGGCTTTGTAGACTGATTACGGGTTCTCAACGGCTTGTCGGGGTTTTACAGTGCTTAATGTTAAGCCTCGGTACTTCATAGAGGCTGCGCAATGTTTATGAGGTTCCATAGGGCGTTTAGAAGTTATAAGAAGACTAGGGGCCTCACCGACGAGAAAAAAGGGCTTGGAGGAATAAACTTTACTATGACTGTATCGGGGTTACAAACACAGTGTGGTTGCATTGCAGACTCTAAACCCTAAGCCCAACACCCTAAACGTCCAGTGTGTCAGGGATTTAGAATTCGGGTGTGCGGCTTTCGTGTTAATAAAAGGGCCGTGTGTGTGTGAGCGTTCTAGAGCCCTTACAGTAACCCATATAGAACTCCTGAAATAGCATATAGAACCCTACACGAGCCCTTATATAAAACTCTGATACAGTGTATATACTATATATACATATATATACCTAATACTAATAATTATTATTATTAACAATATAGTTATAGTTATAACTAAAATTTTCCTTATAACTATAACAATAATTTTTATAATAAATTGTTGCTATTATTGATTAATTATGTATATTTATAAGAACCCTACTAGAAACCTGGTATTGTATACAGGAGCCTATTAGAACCCTCGTGGAGCCCTTGCAGGATTCTCCCTAAACCCTAAACCCTAAACTTTAGGCCCTAAACCCTAAACCCTAAACTTCAGGCCCTAAATCCTAAACCCTAAACCCTAATTCTCCGTAGAGCCCCCGAGCCATGGCCTCCACCAGGGCCGGTAGGGAGTCCACGCAAGTTCTGGGAGTCCCAGCATCGCCTGGCTTAAAAAAAAAGGGGAAGCTCTCTGAAGCACAGGGTCCCTTTTTAGGTTCTCTAAACCAAGGTTTAAGGGTCTAGGGGTTAGGGTTTAGGGTTTAAGGTTTTAGGGTTTGGGGACCTATAGTACGGCACCCGTATAAAAAAAAAGACCCTCAAAGGGACCCTGATTTACAGAACTACCCATCTGTAAGGGCCGGGAAAATGGTAGAGTAAGGGATAGTAAGGGCTCTATGGCGGTTTGCGATGGATTCTGTGGCTACAGCAGACTATGCAAGGGTCGAAAACTTATTATTGGAGTAAGGGATAATAAGGTTCGGTTTCTGTTTCTGGACCCGCTGGAGATCACTCCGGGCTTAATGGCCAGGGGAGCCCTCGGGACGTAGAACAATGAAAGCCCGAAAATGACCCTAAAGCCCCAGGCCCCGAGCTCCAAAACCCTGAAGCCCTACCAACCCAAGAATAATGAACCCTGATACCCTACAGCCCTAAGCTCTACAACCCTGAACCCAAAAACACTAAAACCCCATCAACACTCACACCCTGAACCCTAAACCGTTTAAACCGTAGCAAGCCCTTGTCGGCAGCAATATGCAGCGCCTGCGCCTCCGATGTACTCAGAAAGTTCAGCTCCGAGCGTCTGCCAGAAGCAGCACTAGCACAGGGTGTCGGGTGTGTATAGTCGGGCTTTGGTTTTAGGGGTTTAGGGGTTTGGGGGTGTAAGGTACAGGGGGTTAACGCTGTTAAGGGTGCGAAAAGCCTACGTGTTCAAAAGCAATCCGCGTTGTGGTTTTCCTTATGCTGCATTTTTAGCCCTAAATCCTAAACGCCTAAACCCTAAACCGCTAAACCCTAAACCCCTAAACCCTAAACCCTTAAACCCTTAAACGCCTGAACCCCTAAACCTTAAACCCTTAAACCCCTAAGCCCTAAACCCCTAAAGCCTTAAACCCCTAAACCCTTAAACCCGAAACCCTAAACCCCTAAACCCTAAACTCCCTAAACCCTTAAACCCCTACACCCTAAACGTCGTTGTTGGGCTACCGCAAGGCCCATGAGGGACTGCGGGGTCTGTGGTTCCGGGGTGCCAGACTAGGGGTTCAATGGGTTTCAGACTTTTATGGGGCTTAGGGCTTAGAGTTTGTGACTTTTAGGGTTCAGGGGGGTTTTATGGGGCTTGAGGCTTAGAGTTTGGGGCTGGCTTAGGGTTCAAGGTCTTAGGCCTAAGGTGTCCGACATCATGCGGCTTGCTTGATAACGTGCCTCGGGCTCTCCATGTAGGCTTAGGGCCTGGCAGCTGTTCGAGTGCTCGCAGAAAAAATTGACGTACGGCTCCAGTCGCTCGGGTTTTAGGGTAGGAACTAAGCGGCTTAAACTAATTTCTCTGATGGTCCTCAAGACCGTCAAGACTGCAAATGCACGTCGCAGCGACCCAGATTCGACCCAGATACCCCCAAAATGTAGGCTCCTCCTCGCACTGAGAATTCGCAACTCCGCCAGTTTCTTGGATCAACCAGAAGTTCTTGGTTCATCATTGCGCGCCCCTGATTCCTGCCTTAACACCTAGCTCTCAACCCTGCGTCCAAAGACTGCCCTCAACCCTAAACCCTAAACCCTAAACCAGGGTGCAGAGCTCGGGCCACCTCAAGGCCGATACCACTTGCAAACCACGTGTCCTTGCCAACATTATCCGGCGACGGTCGGGGCAAAGGCATTCAGGCCCATCAAAGCTCACACCCATCCCCTCAAAAAAGACCATCCATACACTATCAACACACGGGTCGAACTCTCCTGAAACGTTCTAAAACCCACAGAACAAAATCTTTAAAGCTCTTTCAAGAAAACCAACCGCCAACACGAAACCCAAAACCCTAAACGCCCAAAACCCTACACCCCCCAAACCCTGAACCCTAAACCCAAAACCCTAAACTCCAAATCCTAAACCCCTAAACCCTAAACGCTAAAGCCCCTAAAGCCTAAACCCTCAACCCCTAAACTCCTATAGACCCGAAACCCTAAAGCCCCTAAAGCCTCTAAACCCTAAACCCTAAGCCCTAAAGCCCCTAAACCCTAAACCCTAAAGCCCCTAAACCCTAAACCCCTAAACTCCTATAGACCCTAAACCCTAAAGCCCCTAAAACCCTAAACCGGCCTCCTTGGCCACAGCGTTCCACGCGCTGCGCCCGAAGGAGTCGGCGAGCTCGCGCTCGGCGTCCATGCTCTTTGTTGGGCCTTTCCAATGCTTTGTGGGTTTGGGGTTTAGGG